TGAAACTAGATACCTGGTTATGAATGAAATTTAACCAGTTTTTTTCTAAAACATTTATTACATTACTTTTCTTGAATAGATATTAATCTAACTTGTAGTATTTCCTTTACACTGAATTTGGAATATTTAGAAAACCATCTTCATGATTCTCTTCTTCATGTTATCTGAGTTGACTTAATATGGAATTTGTACATTTCCCACTCATCGAACAATCCAATATCTGTATTAGCTGTGAAGAGGAATGAGTCATAACCATATCCAAAGCTAAAATCAATACTTTTAGAAACTTCTTACAGAGAAAAAAATGTATTTAGTTATTGAAGTAAGTACCCTAGTTCTGTTCTTCCAGATGTTTGCCTTACACCCACAGAAATGAATGATCTGGTTAAGAAAATTTGCACTTAAGAAATCAGCAGTCAGAAGGAGTAAATGCAAAGGCAAACTTGGGATCAGACGGTCATTGGCCGTGGTCAGAGGCAATGTGGGCAGCAGAGGATCTCTGGTGAGAGTCAAAGACGGATCCTCCTGAGGAGTCCTGAAAGCTCTCAGTCCCTGCTGTCAAGGAAACTGAGTGTCCCATGAACTGCAAATATGGAAGAATGGGTGAATGAGGGGGTTTTTAAATTTTGATTTTACTTTTGTTTTTAAGGGTCTCGTGTTTTAACGGTTAAACCTGAACAATCGACATTTAGTTTTCAGAGTGGAAAATCATTTCTAAGTCTTTTCCCCTGACCTAATAAATTCAGTGCAAATTTATTGAACACTTACACTGTATTAGATACATTTTAAACTGGTTATAGGAAAGATGAATCCAGTGGATCTAAGAACATAGCTGAGAAGTGTTTCTTAGGCATCTTCAATAGCATTTAAAAATTATGTTACGATAATGGGACTACAGTTTTATGCTAGGAAAATGCATATTCTGGTCACACTGTAACACTCCTTTTCATTTAGGTTCTCAGTAACTGCTGTAGGTAGAGCTCTGGGACTGGACAATATAAGACATCTGGGCTTAAATATGTGTAGACAGGAGGTCCTTCCATGTTGGCATCCATAACAGACACAATGACACTTATCCCATAGGGTTCTTTCAGAAATTGAAGAACCTCCTGCATGAAAATCCCTGAGCATTTTATTGGTATGCAGAATGTTTCTGTGGTTAAATGCATGGGTCAAATAATAACACGTAATGGAATTTTTGAAAGTACTTAGAACTGTATGATACTAAAAGTAATACATTTCAAACTTATGTGATAAAAGCAATGCAGTATTTTTAGGGGAAATATATAGTATTAAGGGCCATATTAGAAAACATAAAAATTGAAAATTAATGAACTTATGGCTTAAATTAAGTTATTTTTTGTTGGGGTGAAATTCATGTAACAGGGACATAATCATTGTGAAGTGAGGAGTTCAGTGGTGCGGAGCACCTTCCTGGATTTGCCAGACTCCATTCTCCCTCTGCTCCTCATTGTCGTGACTCCTGAGAGAACCCCGTTCCTCATAGGCAGTCCCTGTCCCTTCTGCCCTCCACCCAGGCCCTGGCAGCCACCCATGTACTTTCCGCCTCGATGGATTCACCTGTTCTACGTGTTTCATAGAAATGTCATCATAAACTAGGACATCTTTTCTGCCTGTCAAATGAAGTCATTTCTATAAGAATAACATAGGATAATAAACCTAGAGAAATTAGGACAGGTTAATAAAGTTTAAGACTGAAATCTGTGAAATTGAAATCAATGTTACTTAAGAAAAAAAAATCAAAATTTGTTAAAATGAATCCAGGCATGTGGGGAGAGAGAGAAAGAGACAGGAAAAGAATATTAGAAATAATTACTGGGACAATTTATAGAGAAGACTCCGTCAAGTTTTTATGGTGAACTGATGAGACATAAATGAACAGACACTGAACTTGATCACTGTGCAAAGGAATGAGATAAAGAACACTGCAAGATGCCACTCAATAAGCAAAACTAAAGCACCTGACTTTGTTAGTCACTGGAAATTCGCCTAACCAGTTTGCAAAATACTTGAGCACTTTTTTTTTTTTAAATGAAATTGAACATGAGCATTTCTTACTCTCTGGTCATTCTTTTACTAAAAATACACCTTAAGTTTACTGTCATATTGATGTACTGGAAAATGTGCAAAAATGTTCATAGCAGTACTGAATGTAAATGAAAATAGAAAAATAAAGGAAAAATCCCTTGGTACGTCCACACATTATAGAGCGCTGCAAGTAAATGAGGCACATCTATGAAGTAAGTGTGGGAGCATCATCTTAAGTGAAAGGCAGGTCACAGAAGACTGCACCCAGCATCCTAGCACACAAAACTCAACCCAGCAGTAAAGGATACACACATTTGTGATTCAGAGATGGCTTTGTGATGATCAATACTGAATTTCATGGTGGTGATCATCTGGGGTTCAAGGCCAAGGGAGTAGCACAACAGTGGATTAAAGGTTATTTGTAGTATTCTTTTTCTAAGGTTGTGAGTTCACAATGGTACTTTAATTATTATAATTCATAACTTACCTAAAAGGGGTACAAGTGATATATCGGATTTTTAAATTTAAATTCAGTTAGCCAACATACAGTTTCAGATGTAGTGTTCAATAATTCATCAGTTGTGTATAACACCCAGTGCTCATCACATCACTGCCCTCCTTAATGCCCATCACCCTATTACCTCATCCCTCCAACCACTTGCTTTAAGCAACCCTCAGTTTGTTTCCCGGAGTCCAGAGTCTCTCATGGTTTGTCTCCCTCTCTGATGGCTTCCCATTCAGTTTTCCCTCCCTTCCACCAAGATCCTTTGTGCTGTTTCTTATATTCCACATATGAGTAAAACCCTATGATAACTGTCTTCCTCTGATTGACTTATTTCGCTCAGCATAATCCCCTCCAGTTCCATCCATGTTGGTGCAAATGGTAGGTATTCATCCTTTCTGATGGCTAAGTAATATTCCATTGTATATATGAACCATATCTTCTTTATCTGTTCATTGTTGAAGGACATCTTGGCTCCTTCCATAGTTTGGCTATTGTGGACATTGCTGCTATGAACACTGGGGTGCATATGGCCCTTCGTTTCACTACATCTGTATCTTTGGGGTAAATCCCTAGTAGTGCAATTGTTGGGTCATATGGTAACTCTATTTTTAACTGACTGTTTTCCAGAGTGGCTGCACCAGCTTGCATTCCCACCAACAGCGTAGGAGGGTTCCCCTTTCTCCACATCCTTACCAACATCTTTCATTTCCTGACTTGTTAATTTTAGCCATTCTGACGGATGTGAGGTGGTATCTCATTGTGGTTGTGATTTGTATTTCCCTGATGCTGAGTGATGTTGAGCATTTTTTCATGTGTCTGTTGGCCATTTGTATGTCTTCTTTGAGAAGTATCTGTTCATGTCTTCTGCCCAGTTTTGATTGGATTATTTATTTTTTGGGTGTTGAGTTGATAAATTCTTTATAGATCTTGGATGCTAGCCCTTGATATGTCAGATTTTACATATTTAAAAAAATGAAGTGATAATATATTTAGAAATTCATGAGGACTAAGATAATAGGGGAAATTATTTTATACTGTCATATAGTATGACTAGTAAATCTTAGCTGTTATTGTCACTTTTCTCTCAGAGATCTTAAAGTTTTTAACTCTATTGGTAAAAACCACTTTACAGGGGTGCCTGGGTGGCTCAGTCATTAAGCGTCTGCCTTCGGCTCAGGTCATGATCCCAGGGTCCTGGGATCCAGTCCCGCGTCGGGCTTCCTCCTCAGCGGGAGGCCTGCTTCTCCCTCTCCCACTCCCCCTGCTTGTGTTCCTGCTCTCACTATCTCTCTCTCTGTGTCAAATAAATAAAATCTTTTTTTTTTTTAAAGATTTTATTTATTTATTTATTTTGAGAGAGAGAATGAGAGACAGAGAGCATGAGAGGGAGGAGGGTCAGAGGGAGAAGCAGACTCCCTGCCGAGCAGGGAGCCCGATGCGGGACTCGATCCCGGGACTCCAGGATCATAACCTGAGCCGAAGGCAGTCGCTTAACCAACTGAGCCACCCAGGCGCCCAAATAAATAAAATCTTTAAAAAAAAAAACCAAAACACTTTACATGGTCCTAACATATATAATCTTTAAATTGTTAGTACCACTACTCTAAAAATTATATTGTACCAGTATATTACATATATTATAAATGCATGAAATATATAATACAATCAAAATATAGATGAATAATATTTTAAAATTAATAAGTTTTATATATTAATGGTACATAATTCAATACTAGTGAGTGTAAATCTCTATTTCTAATGGTGCCCTAGGTACTTTAGAACCTTTTTATTTAACTTCTTTATAGAGTGTTTAGATATTTATTGTCTTCATTTCATAATGTGGGCTGACAAAAAACTCATTTTAGGACAAAAAGAGCATCAATTCTTACCTGCTTTCATATGCATTATTAGGAATTATTTTTAACGTATAGTTTCTTTACAAAGTTACTTTAAAGCTAATTGTCCATTTTTGGAGGATTAATTTCAGGAAACCTGACAAAAGGATCCATAAATCTGTGTGATGGTTACAATGCGTAGCCATGTGCTCAAAACCTGTGGAGGTGTGAGGTCATCCACACCTCCAGGAATGACCACTCTTTCCGAAATTACCAGCGTGTGTTCACATGAAATAACCAACAGAGGATTCATGTTTCAATCAGAATATTAAATGTCACAAAACTTTTGTCTGTAAACTTTGGATGAAAAAAAATTTAAGTTCTAATACTTTTTTCCTGCACCAAGTGATTGTTTTGCTTGTCTTCACTTTTGTTCCTTAATTTTGTAAGTGAAGAAGCCTGGCTGACCACCCAGCACCCAGGACTCAGGAGTGGTAGCTTTTACTTTAGGGGATCACTTGTTTCTCTTTCAAAGTTTCAGTAGCCTGCTATATAGAACCCATTTGGTTCATGTATTCACTCAACTGTTTATCAAACCATCTGTGTTTCAGGCAATGTGTTGGGTTGTGAAGAAGCGTGAGACATAATCCCTGGCCTCAAGAACCTTTCAGCCTGGTGGAGAAAGCAGGTAAGTAAAGCAATTTAATGTCATTTGCTAAGCACTATTTTGAAGATATTCCTATGATGCTATGAAGTCCGTTTATCTTCACAACCCTCTGTGAGGTCAGTAGGATGCCTACTCTTATTTCATTATTTAGGTAAAAACACTGAGATGTTATGGATTCATGTAGGCCCTGATACTGTCAACTAACTGTTCTAACCCTGTTCCTTCCACAGCTTGGTACTTGCTACGTTGATTACCTAGACCTGAGCACAGCTGAGAGAAATGTTCTGCCTTTCTTTCAAAATCCCATTTATTCTGTTCTTTATGAGGATCTAAATGTGAAATTTCATATGTAAAAAAAAAATCCTGATGATGTAAAGAAGGAATCATGTTGATAATCTACATGATGGGTACATGAGGGCTCATGAAGAAATAACGATTGCAAGACATCTCTGTAACAAAATGTTTTAAATGATCATCTTGAGCTAAGCTTCACAACCTCTTCTCAAAATGTAGCAGGGCCATCATAAAGAACTAAGTTCAGATATTAAGGTATCATTAGAAATCTGTCTTGCACCAGCTGGGGAAAAACAACAACAACAACTTGTTAGGTCATTTTAAGCCTGACTTTTGTGATGGTGCAATGGGCATTGTCCGCATTTTCCACTCTTGCATTGCATACTAGTCAAGACAATATAACCATATTTTCAGAAGCACTCAAGGTAGCCAGAATTTTTAAAAAGAACTGTTAATCACCCTAAAGAAATTGCAATCATTAATTAGTAAAGAAAGATCACAGTAATGAAATTATCATAAAATTTAAAGAGCATGAAAAGAACTTCAAAAACATATTTTATATATTTGAAGTGTAATAATGATTTCCTATTAAAACCTAAAGCTCTCTCAATTTGAGTATAATCTCTTCTCATGAGCTACAGCTTTTCGGTCTGTATAAGAGAGATTTTCAGGAGAGAATATTTCATAGAAAGTGTTTTAGCATCGAAATTTCCAAACCATCAATCTCTTCTTCATTTTCTCACATCATTTGGTTACATTCGTAAATCATCTGAAATGTTAAGCTGAGGTTATTATGATCTAATGTGAAGTAAATCACCACTGAAATATTTTTTTCCCAAAATCTCATGAGTTTTTACTGAAAGAAAGGATATGTGATAAGGCAAAATCCAAATATCATCTTGCATTAGGTTGATTAGGATTTAAATAAAATATTCAGCCTCTCAGTTTCTTCTGCTACACTGACTAGAAAGGAAGTTAGGAACTAAAAAGTCTCGAGGTCAGTGGGGTGGATATAAAAATGTGGCCATACTGGGATGCTCAGTGGTAGTTAGCCTGTGGCAACTAAATGTTTCCTATGTGGTTGTTACTTATCCTTTCTCAGCTAGAGTATAAAATACATACATTTCATCAGATTTCCTGCGTACCAACTCTGATCCTGAGCCCAAACACAAAAAGAAATATCTAGGTGCTAGTGGTCTCATGGTGTCAGAGTAGAGAATCTTTAGAAACCACCTCTTTTAGCTGCTTTGTATTTCAGATTAGGGAAGTTAACCCAAGTGACTCGTTGCAAAGTCCCATTGACATTTGAGGGAAGAATTAGAATTAGAACCCAGGACACTCTTAATGCAGAGCATTTTCTCCTCTGTTTTATTCCTTTCATTGGTCCTCCTTTTATTCACTATGGAGCAGATGTTCTTTAAGAGGTATGTTTGTTAAAAGGACAAACTCTGCAAATATTTCATTTTGATTCTTTCAAGTCTCCCACACCTTTATTTTTGATGTCATGAGTAGGTGTGCTTTGACATGTTACTCTTGATGAGCACCTTGGGGAATATGTGTTCATCCAGGCCTGTCTTCACCTCTCAGTAGAAAACTAACATGGATTAACACACTCCACAGTGAAGTTTTCCCCTTTTTCCACCTCCCACTCGTGCCCGGGTGCATACACACGCACACACATGCGCGCGTGCACGCAGCGCGCGCACCCGCACACACTGATTTCACCATAACCAAAACCCTACATTTTCAACAAACAACCTGTTCCTTTGGGGAATGAGACTGCGAAGCAGAGGCAGGTACCAGACAGGACCGTGATCCCATTACAGAACTGTGAACTGTTGGTTTATGTTCGATACGCAGAGGTCCAGTGTGTAAGTGAGCATGCCTGGCAAGAGCAGGAGAGCAGAGGAGCCTTCTGCTTGGCCACTTCTTGAACTCACATCTCTTTGATCTCCCACTGAAGATCCACTCCTTCTGGCAGCTTTGTGTTCTTGTGAGGTCTTAGCACTGATTTTCTGTGTCATTCTCACTGAACCTGGACTGAGCAGGTAGGACCGTCTGTATGTCTTGCAGGCTGCCTTGACAGGTGCGGGGGCCCCTGCCTAATGGGGGAGACACTGAGCTGTGGACGGCTTTGCATCACAACCCCTCTCAAACTTCAGCACTCATGGCATATTTACAAAGTCATAATAAAACCATCATAAATGTAATGTTCTACAGGACATTTTGTTTTTTTTATTTAACTCTACTCATCTCTAAACTTCATATCCCATTATTGGCTTACTTTTCAAAAAAACTAAATAGCACTCTTTGTTTCAGCAATCATTTTTTTTTAATAACAATTTAATTCTGATTCCATAACAAAGCTAATAACACACATTTCATGATGTGAAGTCCTTTTAAAATATCAGCATGCAGAAAATGTTCTTTACCTGTCATATTCTGAATATTCTGAAACACTTTCAAGGGGTGTGAAGTATTAGGTACATAAATAAAAATATTCATTGTTGCATTTCATTAGCACTCAGGCAATGAATAGAAAAGGAAATTTCCATAAATTGATGTATTGAATTTTTAGGTCATTCATTTTACAGAAGCCTGTAATTTTCCATCTTGAGTATACCCTTGATCAAATAATTTACCTACTCCTTAATAAGGCCCTCGTAGAAATATTGAGAACTACGGGACCTAGTAAGGGGCACGTGCCTGCGTGCGTCTGTATAGGTCTGTGGATCTGGAGTGACCTCCGTTACGGTAGAGATGATGGCATGGCTGGTGTTCTGCCCACGATGGGTGGGATGAACATTCTGGTACCAGAGTACCATACTGGTTCGCTCTGCAGAGCGGCTGCTTCTGCCCACAGCTGGGGAGATGGAAAGGAGTCTGAGACTGGAGTCCTGCTCCCATCCTCCACTGCTGGAGAGATGCAGGACTCACCTCAAAGCAGGAAGGATGTCCCCCGTTCCTCTTTCCTCTCCCTTTCAAATTTATCTGCCACTTCCTTGTGTTGGCAGAAATTGAGAAAGCCAGCTGACATGGAAGCCTGGAGTCCCAGCTCCTGAAATGCAAGGCAGAGTGAAGAAGGGTTATGTCAGGTCTGAGACGGCTCCGAGATTCTGACCCATGTACAAGAAGGGACTATGTACATGGATATTGACCTTGCCGCTGTTTCCACTTATCAAACACTGGGAGCAGCTTAAATGTTCAACAAGATCATGGAGAAATACGGAAAAAAATGAGTAGGTTAGTGCTTCATGTGTCACGTGGATCAACATAAAAATAGAAAGTTGAAAAAATACAAATTGCTAAAGGGCGTGTGAAGTGCAGTTCACTTATGTAACATCACAAAACATGAATAACCCTGTGCAGACGTTCATGGAACGAGTAGGAACAAATAGAGATAGGCGGGTGCTTTTAGGAAAGCTGCTGATGAGTACAATTTAGGTAAAATTCAGAGGGGTTTTATCTGTACCTACTATGTGTGTGTTAAAAAAATATAACGGAGTCAAACGCAGTAACATTGTAGGGTTCATTGTAGATGGATGGCCAGTGCATTAATGCTTATTATATTATTGTCTGTTATTTTTGAATATTTGAGTTATCTCATAGTTTTAAAAAAGATGCACAGAAATGTCAGGTGTCACTTGCTGTCACTACTTTCCAGCAGCTAGAGCGTGGACGGTCCCCTGTTGTCTTCAGCGTCCTCGTGAGGACTAGAGATGACAGAGATACTAGCAAGCCCTCCCCAGTGGTGATGCTCCGTTACTCTTATTAATAACAGTTTGCCCACATACACTACACATTCGTTAGATGGAAATCAGTGATATCGGGCCATTGGAAATCTATTTTTCTAATTTTTCATATGAAGCTTGTATTTCACAAATTCTTCGAAATTTATTTATTTCAGATCTTATGGGTAAGAAAACAGGCTCAGATCAATGAGACTGGTTTAGGGTCATGCACTCTTGTCAGCACACAATATGCTTGACTGGATCCTTTTGCCTCTAATCCTGTGCCTCCCATCAATGGGGAAGCGCAGTGCAGGGTCCATGAACAGGAATACAGAATGCAGATTCATAGTGGAGGAGCAGACATCCCTGTTTGAAAAGGACAGGCTCATCTCATTCCTGTTGTCCCAGCATAATTATTATAACATCGCCTCTCAATCTTGAAAGTGTCACGGTTTGAGATATAAGTTATATGTTTATGTTAAGATTCAGGAGAGCAATAGGCTAGTTCTTAGTTTATGCTGAGTTTGATGGCAGTATTTTAAGAGGGATCTTAACCAAAGAGTCCATCAAAAAGAAAAAAAAGAGAGAGAGAGAGAGAAGACTGATAACTGTTTGAGGACTGTTTGAAAAATTCAGGCATTCTTATTTTTTTAAAGATTTTATTTATTTGAGAGAGTGCGAGAGTGTGAGAGAAAGTGTGTGTGAGAGTGAGCGAGCTGAGGAGCAGAGGGAGAAGCAGGCTCCCTTAGGGATCAAGACCTGAGCCGAAGGCAGCCACTTAACCAACTGAGCCTCCCAGGCGCTCCAGATTCAGGCATTCTTAACAAACAAACAAACAAAAAAAAACAGATTTTGGGGAATGGCAAATTTTTTTTTTTATCAAATTAAAAAAAAAACTGTTATATGGAAGAAGATTCAGACTTATTCTATGTGGCTTCACATACTGCTGGTTGTTAAGGAGACACAACTTGCTAACAATTAGAATGGACATTATTTCTTCTGTCTGATGAATCTGTGGGGTTTCCAGGTACAGGATCGTAACACCTGTGAGTACACCTGGTTTTACTGCGTCATTTCCTTTCTAGTAAAAATGCTCTGTTTTCTGCTGATTGCTTTGACTAAAATCTCTAATAAAATGTCTGAAAAAAGGTAGTGTTACCAGACATCTTTGTCTTCTTCCTGATTTTAGCAGAAGTTCTGTCTGTGTCAGCATTAAGTAAGGAAATCTGTTTATTTTTATTAGGGAATGGGTGTTGAATTTGTTCAGTGACCTTTGACTATGGTAATCATAGTGTTTTTAACTTTAGAAGTATAGGGTTTGTTGATATGGAGCCATCCTTGTAATCCTGGAATAAACCCCATCAAATCA